TTAGGTCCAAATATAGCTGTAACAAATTATCAGGTCCCTGTGGTCCCAACCCATCGCAGTAAGATACAATTCCACCAAATTACCGCCTCAGTAGCCCCAAGTATCGACATTTCAACTAGATAATATTCACCAAAATACCGAAAACCATGATCATCAGATGGTATATGTGCTATGGATTTGTTTGGTATCCGAAAATGATTTCATTAAAAAAATATTGCTATCATCTCGATTCCTGTCTAAGATCTTACAACCATCCTTTCCACACTGTGACATTATCCGAACAATCTTCACCACTCGGTAAAACAATTTTATTTTTACTAAACCTGTAAATATGTTTGTTACATATCTTCACCACACTAAAAGCATATCTAATTTGTCCTTAGCATCTGTAATTACGAATATTTTATCTTCATAATTGTGAATCCAGTCGTCAACAAGTTTCATCAGGTAAAAAAGGCATATTTTTATCCATTTCTATTCTATGTTATCTATTTAGCTGTCGGACTTGTCCTATGATTATTTATTTATCCATGTTTATGTTTTTATTACTATTCTTTGTGAATCTATTAAGCTAATTTCTTATGTTTATGTTAAAAATAAAACCTTATTTTCAATACTTTTTTTATATAGAGCAATGCTTTCTATATTTGTGTTTATCACTTTTTCAATAACTGCGATTTTTTTCGGCATCGTTTATATAATGTTTTCAATACCCTCTATAATCCTTAAAGTAAAACTTTTGATTCAAAAGATTATTTCTCAAACATATATCAAATAGTTTTCATGTCTACACTGTTGTCACGTGATGTCCATATGTCACTTCCTACTGTCGACTACAGCAGCACATTTTCCATATTCCGCTCCTCTTTTCTTCCTTTTCGAACGACTCCATGCCCAGTACGTAGCATTTTCTGACGAAAGTGAAGTTTGTTTGGACGGATTCATCAACTTTACGACACGTCCAGGTGTGTTCTGAAGTTAAACCAGTACAATTACACAGACAATTAATGTAGGGCATTGTATTGTAGATCTGACACACAGGAATATATCTTATGTAATAGAAATACCAGTTATTTCTTTTTGGACATTCCACTTCGGAGGTGAAGTCTTAAGGTGCACGTACCACTGCATAAGTTATAATCGCACAGAAGAGTTCCTCTCAAGGTTGTTTGTTACTTGGAGTATTCTCCCTTCTATATAGAAGATGAAGCAACCAAAGGGACTATTTCTGGCTTAGGGTAATTTACCATTGCATTGCTTTTTTCGTAGATTTGTGGCTTATAAATTGGACACTCATTTTAATGAAGACAGATATGATTGTCGGAAGCATCGGTAGAGTACAGGCAATTTAATGGTCCTGAGTTTTTTTAATTTATGATTCAAACATTCAAAATTTGGAAAACTATAATGCTGTAAAATGCATGGCATCATGCGTTTTTCAAGAAATACTAGCTGCTTTTGAAAAGGACTTACACAAATGTTTCATAATAGAGACATTGGTAATATTATAATTAAACTTGCTGTCATCCTTTACCGTAAAAAGGCAAATATTTTTAAAAATAAAAGGGTTTATGTTGTTAAGATAGGCATGTCAAACGAATTTTAAAACAGGCATGGGCAACGCTACGCAAGACACGCATGATTACTTACCGCCCCCAGTCCATCATACAGGGAACGGCTTGGTCTATAACGCTGTAACACTTTGTACCAATGGGGCTCTTCAACGAAAAAAGTAACAATATTTATCACATATAGTCAAAATTGGCCACCCTACAAATTTAAGAGAAGGGACGTGGGGAATGGACAACATATGATTGCTACATTTTAAGTTTTTGATCATAAAAAGTTGTATGTTTATAGGCATTGTCTCCCTTTGCTCACGGTATTTAACTGAAAGCCGTTTTATCTTTAGTCCTTTTACATGGAAAAACTTGTTTCACAATTGTTGTAAAAAATCATTACTGTTATCAAATAAATACTCTATTTATCATCTTATTCAATAGCGAAAGTCATCTAGCATCTAAATAGGTCCACAAGTCAATAGGTCACAGAGTGTGATTTTTGTTATATATATGCACCAAATACGGAGATGATGTAATATAATAAGTATCTAGATTCCTGTTTTATCTGTTAAATCCGTTCCTTTGATCACTCACCATTTTCAAACTGGACAGGACAATTTTTCTGAAAGAGTAGTTTCCTCCATTTTTCAGATCTTGAATCAATATTCTGCTCCTCTTCCTGGATTTCCTCGGAGCCGGACCCGATCGATGCTGTGTGACGAAACCAAATGACATGTTTAAAGTCAGGAAAAAAGTTGAATAACGTCAAATCGATTCCATTTTATAATTGTCAACGTTACACTTATGACATATACGTTATCAAATTTCACACAAATAAATATATACATATTGACGAGTGCTTCTTTGGAATAAATATATACTGTTAGGGTGGAAATTATCGCAGTGTGGGAATGCTCGTGTATTGTTGCATCTAGTAAATTACCGCAAAAATATCCACACGCAAATATGTATGCATAGACTATGGAGATTATATTAAGTATAGAACTCACTAAAAGCGGATAAGAGTTAGAAATTAAAGTCTAGACATTGCAAACGGTATAGTGCTTCACTTATGTGACTTTCATGTTCCTCCGAATCATCGCAAAAATGTACAATTGGAATAGTTTATTACCAAACAAAGAAATGGAGCTTGTGCACAGAATCGGAGTTTGAGCATGCGTACGGTATAATGTTGGTTCCTATGTCTTAGATCGAAGCGATATAAGTTGGAAACCTTATTGTTTCTTATCCTTTTCTAGATCTGTATACCGTCTATCTGTATAACACGTATTGCTATATTGTGTACTCTGTATAACGTGTATCTGTATACAATGCATATGTAT